TTGAAGGTGCCTGCTGGACCCCCCGTCAGTGGTGCAGGTCCATCCTCCTGAGCCCCTGCAGCCTCAGAGCATCCTCATCCTTCCCCACCCACCCCCAGCCCTGATGAGCTGCGGGGCTCTCCCCGCACCCCAGGACCAATTTTGGGATGGAAAAAAAAAAAAAAAGAAAAGAGTGAGAATAAAGGTGAATGGAGAGGCAGGAGGACCAGAGAGAAAGAGCAGAGGTGGGAGGAGAGAGGGGATCCTGCTCGCTGCTCATCTCCTTGCTGTGTGTGACAGCGCGGTGTCCCCTGGGCACTACTGGCCGGCTGCAGCCTTTGTGCGGCGGTGGGAATGTCAGGGATGAGCCCCGGGATGAAGAGCATATCGAGCAGTCCCAGAGAGCCATAAATTACTCCCTCCTGTTGTCACTGGCCTGTCGTAGTGAAGAGGAGAAGCTTTCTCATCGGTTGCCAGGGTGGGAATGTTTGGGTCCTGTCGTTCCTGTGAGCATATTTAATTCAATCATGTGGGAATGCCCTTGATGAAGCGGGTCCTTGCTCCTGGCTTCAGCAGTGTTCCCAGGCAGGGCAGCCAGTGCAGGCTGCCCTCAACATGGCTTTGCCAGAAAGGTTGTAATTAAAACCAGACAAAGAGGCTTGAAAATAAAATCTACCCAAATTTTGGTTGGTTATGGGGGTTTCTTTGTTTGTTTCTTGCACATCCCTTGCACCTTCTCTTTTATTTATTCCAATTTTATCCTAAAGTCACTCCCTCTCTGTTCTCATTCCCCAGTGTCATCCATACAATGGCAAGAGAAATTTTCTGCCACTGAGAACTTGCCACCAGGTTCCTGCAACACATTAGAAACACGGGTGAACAAAAAATACCCTTAAACATACCTGTTTCAAACTTGTAAAGAAAACACTATTTGCCAAAAGGTTTCCTGCACTACAGACCAGAACCCCCATCACCTTGTGGTGCCACCAGTGAGAGATGGTGGCAATGCCAAGGGCAATGCCACCCACAACACCCTCCTGCTGTGCTGATCCCTTCTGTGCCGTGGAAACCAGGGCTCTAAGGTGCTTTTCCCAGCTTTCCTTTCTGTTTTGCATAAACAGAGGAAAAAAAAGAGGTTGGGTTGGGGGTTTCCCCCCATGTATTTGAATCCACAGAGCAGCGCACATCAGCATTTGTAACACAACACAATTGTGAAAGAAATTACCATTTGATGAGAAATGAATTAAATTTTCCATCAGAAGACGAGAATGACAAGGGTTTCCGAAAATTACTTTTAAAAATAAATGCAAAGGCAGGTGAATATCTGCTACCTTCTGTGAAATATGCATCTTGGTGGCAGAGCAGCAGCAAGGTCAGGATGCTCTGGAGAAGAAGATACAGGAAGAAGGATACTCTTCTCAGCATGGCCAACACAAAGCCACCAGACACTCAGATGGGGACAGAACCGTGGAGAATGTCCCAGAACAGCAGCTCTCACGGTCTCCCCACCACCAGGAGTGATGCACATTGGCCATCCCACCAGGGAGCAGGTGGCACTGGCAAACTCTCATCCCTTTCCATTGGTTATAGACCCTATATGTGTGCCTGGAGTGGTTTGAAACCTTCACCTTCAGGGTGGCAAAAGCTGTGTGGCCATGAAGGACGTTTTAACTGAAGGAAGAAAAAAAAGCAGAAGGGGGAGGTGGAAGCAGAATTACCCTGGTGATGGAAGGAGGGAGGGAGAGAACCAGGAGGTGGGAGGCAGAGATAACCAGTGGCTGAGCTATCAGCTCGTGCTGGGCTGGTAGCAGGGCGAGACGGGTTAAACCAGCTGTGCAGCCCTGATCTCCCAGCCCCAGATAAACACCCAACAGCCACACACTGCCCCACACCTGCCCTGTGCCTTGTCCCAGTGCCTGGGATGAAACCAGCCCAGTCCTGGATACGGGGGCTTTGCTCAGCCTGGCTGTCAAGAGGGGCCCCATGTCCCTAGTCTGGGACTGCGCCTGGGCAGGGCTCCCTGCACCCTCAGGTTGGAGGTTGAAACAAGGTCCCCTCTTTCACACAGGGGGAAATGTCACCCAGAAACTTTCAAAGCAAGAGTTGGCTGCTTGTCTGCTGTGGAGGAGGCTTTAGCAGCTAAACTTTTGGGGGGCGATGCTTTAAAAAAGCCGAGGATGCTCTAAAAGGCTCTGTTTAAATAAGCCATGAGTCTGAAATTCATAGAAATTAAAGACAAAAAAAAAATACTTGAGTTACCATTCCTGGTCATCTGCTCCGTGCTATTGGTATGGTGCTGACCACCAGCATACATACATACATACATATATATATATATATATATTATATATATAAATTAATATTATATAAATTAATATTATATATATTATATAATATATATGTTAACATACACATGTTCAATGGACTACTTAGCCTGTAAACACTCCCTAATTAATGCTATATTTTTTTTAAAAGTATTTGTGCACATGGTTGTGATAATTTTTTTTAAAAAAGAAAAAAGAGGAATTGGTGTCGCTGCCTGTTAAATCATGGCCGAATTGCCAAAGGAAGTAGCACGGCCCCCCAGCAGCCCCTTCCTTGCACAGTCACCCTCGCCAAAAGGAGGGAAAAGGCCTTTGGGGGACCTGCAAATAACGTGCTGGGGGTAAGGGGGCTGGTAACGCTCGCCTGCGGCGGGGGCATTGCTTCATCACCCGCCTTCCTTCCTGCCGGCCCCGCGCTCTTCCTCCCGCCTGCTCTCCCTGAAAAAGCCCAGCCCAGGCTGGACGGTGTGAGTCAAGCAAGGAAAAAAAAAAAAAAGGCAAGTCTTTTTGCAAGGTTTTTGCTGCCTGATTATGATTTTTGGAGGCTGGGAATGGGCCACTCTGGCATTTTCATCCCACAATGAAATACTAAAGTAGTGATGGGTTCAAGCCATGAGGTGGGACAGAGGCAGACAGCAAGTGGAGACTGCTTTGTAAAACTTTATTTAGAAATATTCTTGATATATTCATTATATATATATATTTATATGTACACACACATTACAACAAATGTGTTTTCTAAATAGCACGTCCACAGTGGGTTGAGACTCAGGGTACCAGGTCTGGTTACTTCATTTCTGCAGAAAAAATGCAGAAATCCGAAGGGAGGGTGGCAGAGAAAGGGAGGGGGCCGAAAAAACCCCCAAAATCGTAAGGCAGGAATTCACTCACACGGTACAACATTGCCCCAGAGCGCCGCTTCCGACAGAAACAGGGGATGATGGTCCGCACAGCGAGAGACGAAGCAGAAAGGAGGAGAGGTGGGCAGAGGAAATGTACCATTCAAATCACAATTAAGTACAACTGTACATACCCCAGGAGACCTTACAGTGTGCTCTGCCAAGGGCTACAAGCAGGCACGTGGGGGGGGTGGTGGTGTTTGAGGGTGCTGCCAAAGTTGTACCACTTCCCCAACTATTCAGCTACCAAAAAGATTTAAACAAAAAATAATAAATTTGTATGGAATGAGGAATTTCTAGATGTTGGTGTTTGTTTTTTTTTTCTTGCAGTAGTTTAATAAAAAGGTTGTTTGGAGACCAAGAATGGCTTTACCTGTGTGACAGCATCCCCCTCCCTTCCCAGAGGGTCCCCTGGCAGCCCCCACTGCTTGCCTTTCCTACCCCTGACACCAGTACCAGCCCAAACCTCTTCCTCAGTGTCACTCTGTCACCTGCCAGCACCTCTTCCCTGGCACAGCCCTGTGGGTAACCTCTTCTAGTAAAAAACCCCATGCATGGACAATCCAGACCCAGGAAGGAGTTTTCCTCCTTTTCCCCAATTTAAGAGGGGGGAGATTGGTGCGTTCCAATATATGGGGTCTTGCAAATCCTTACATGGGCCAGGATCCCTTCTCAGGCAACTAATTCACCTAATAAGCCAAACCACATACCACCCTCTTAACTATTATTTTCAAAGAGGCATCAGAACCAGGCAGGGATGGAAATGACAGAGTTCTGAAATAAGCCTGGATGGGCTTGCAGACACCCACTTAAATTCTCTGTGTTCCTTTGTACCTCGGCATCCTTGGGAAGAAACAAGTGAGGTGGAAGGTGTCCCCGCTTAAAAAGATTTATCCCCTTCCAAAGGATGTTTGTGTGTGGTTTGTTGTTTTGGTTTTTTTTTTACTGTAGCATGGCAGAGATTTCTGTGCCTTGACACCTTTGCAGAAGGAGAGGGTGGACTTGGGGCAATTGCCCCATCAGGCATCAGGCAATGGGTGGGTGGGTGGGAAATGACAGGACTGAAGTGGTGATAGCACAGGGTGGTCCTCAGCTCCCAGCCCCCACAGTAGCAGCCTCCTGCTCCTCAGTCTTCCTGTTTCCCAAACACCCTTCCGGGGGGGCAGCAGGGATCAGAGGACCATCTCAGTCACAGATATCAACTTTGCAGTGACCTGAGCACTTGGGAATGTAAGGACCTCCCTAAGGCCAGAATAAATCCAGCACTAGGGTCCGTACTGTGGGCATTGGCACAGCTGAACCACCACCATTTTCACACAATAAAATCAAAAACTTCAAAGCATACCATTAAAACCTTTTTATATCCCTATGTACACGCACACTGTTGATACATCATTGACTCCTTTTGCCTTTTTGTTGCTTTTTGATCATAAAAATCCTCCAGTCCAAGGAGATACTCCACTAGCAAGTATTTTTTTCCCTTACCAATTCTGAAATTCATCTTTCTTGAGAGAAATTCTGGCCCTAAGAAACCACTGGGAAAGCTCTAGTAGACCACAACAGGCTTGGAGTTCACCTGCTGAGTGTTACCTAGCAGAAGAATTAGGGACTGGGAGGGTGGCAGAAAACACCTATGTACCTTTTCATTCAATGGATACTGCATGACAGTGTTAAACAGAAGTAATCCCACGTCATAAATACTACAACCCCAAACAATTCAAAGTTAGGTAGAAGGGAAAGGAGGAAAGGGGAAGAAAAAAAGAAAAAAAAAAAAAGAAAAAAAGAAGAGAGAAAGAAATAGTCTTAATCCTTTTAATAGTTCTTTTGCTGAGGGTATTTTTTCACCTCTTTAAAAAGATACAGACAAAAGCTCTCGGACAACAGGAACACGTGGTCCCAGCTCCTGTTCAGACCAGCTGTGTGTGCCACAGGCTGGAGAAGTGCTGCACTGGCATCATGCAGCAGTCTCCAGCACCACGTGGAGCAGGAAAGCATCAGTGGCCTCTGCCAGCAGTGAAAGAGGAGTTTCATGCCTCAAGCAGGCGACTGTTTAAAAAGCAGTGGTCATCAAATGGTCTGAAAGCCCTCTAAATGCTGGAGAGGCGCTGGCCACGTCTCCTCCCCCTCCTCAGGGTCACGTCACGAGCAGTATGTACAATGAAGATGACTTCAATGCTTTTCTTCTTTGTACGATCACGTACCTAAATACTGAACGTCCGTCTGGGTTGGTCTCGTCCTCAGCCAACGTTCCGGCCGCTCCGCCCCGGGCTGGGGAGAGTGGGGAGCCCGAGCTCCCGGGGAAAGGCAGAGTCACAGATCCCGCGAGCACAAGTTCCAGCATCCTCACGCTCGGGCCTTGCCTCTCCCCCTCGGTGCTTCGGGAGCAGCGCCAAGGTCATCACCGCTGCGCGTTGCCTTCTACGGGGAGGATGGCGTGGTGCAGGCTCCGCGTGTGCTTCGAGTCCAGCGCTTCGTGCTCTTCCGTGAAGCTGTCCGGGCTCGCCGCTCCGTCTAAAGAACTTCCACAGCTAGAGTTTGGAGACAACATGTCCTGCAGGAGGTCTTCCTGGACTATCCCAGAGTCTTTGTTCACTTTGCCCCTTTGGTTTCCTTCTTCCTCCTGGTCGTTGAGCAGCTTGGCCAGGAAGTTGATGTACTTCATAGCCAGGCGCAAGATCTCGTTCTTGCTCAGTTTTTTGTCGGGCGGGTGGGTGGGGATGAGCTTGCGGAGCTCTGCGAAGGCTCCGTTGACGTTCTGCTGTCTCCACCTCTCCCGGCTGTTGGTAAAAATGCGGCGAACCACCTTCGTGTGAGGACCTGGAATTCCAACCAGACAGAATTAGGAGCAGGGAATAACAGCTCAGGTTTACTTTGCTGAATAGGTCACTGTTTCCCAAATTGACTGACTTATTCTAGTGACTGACATCAGCAAGGCAGTGAAACAAGAGTTTCCAGCTAACTGGAAGCTGATATGATGAGCTGAGATAGCCATAACTTCTGCTGAATCCAGTGGAAGGGAAAAATGGAGTTGCATCTCTTTGGGTGTCTCCTCAGATGTGTAAATTTACCTCTCCAAGGAGGAAGGCTTAAGCCATGACACGTGTGCTATGCTTTTAGGGTATCTCAGCTCATCAACAAAGGTAACTCAGCAACAAAGGTCCTATTAAAAGCTGATCTTACTAGATAGTTTTATTTTCTATCCCAAAAGTGTCTAAAGGACACATCATCGAGACAGAAGGAAATTGGCTTGAACAGAGGCTTTGACAACTCTAAGATCCAGAGACCCTCCCTGCTGCAGGCAGGATCCAGTGCTGACAGAGACCACAGGATTGCCACCAGCCCTCTGGGTGTTTTGTATGAAACAGGATGGTGGGATTTGCCCCATAGCAATGAGGACAGGTAGCAATGTGACCCACAGAGCGAAGGCAGTGTCCTTGTTGGAAGGGTGATCATGAGGGAGGATGAAACAGTTTCACAGCTGAACTGAGGGCCTCCTGCTCCCTCTACATATCACTACCACAGGGCAAAAACTCCCTCTGACACTAACTGGAGAAGTGAAAAAATTGTTTAGTTAAGTGTGAATTCCAATTAAATCCCTGACATTTTACAGCCGTATTTCTGACAGAGCATGTTACACAGGATGGACACACAAAACACACCAATTCTCCTTTCAGATCACCAAGGTAACTCCTCTTGCCATGAGAAAAACATTCCTTCTGTGCTAGAAGAGACCCAAAAGCACATCTACCCAAAATATACTGCGCTACAGGAGTAGCAATTCCATAAATCAGGATTGCAGGTCCTTGGGTCCATGGAAATCAGCTCATGTAAGGGGGCACTACCATAAGATGCTTTTTTTATTACATGCTTTCCATCCTCATCTCCAGGAGACATCAACAGTGGAAGGTCACATCAATCTCATGGAAATCTGGGAGACTGACCATGGCAGAAACTCCCAAAGGGTGGGAAGCATCACGTAAAATGAAAATCATCACAGATTGTGAAGCAAAGACTTGCAGGTAACACATCAGTGAGTTGTACCCCATCCCCATGGTCTCTCCCTTGTATTCCCCACATTGAGACACTTGTCTAATTACTCCCTTCTGGAGGGAGCAAGTCCCTGGCTGTGGGAAGCAGTTTAAGCTACAGCTCTGCCATCACCCAGTGAAACCAGCACCCCGTGGGACATTTAAACATCATTATTCTTGTCTGGCAAAACTCTCGGCTGCCTTGACTGTGACAGGGCAGCTGAATAAATGTGACTTTGGAAGCGTGCTACTAGGCTGCATCTTGACAGATTCCACCTTCCACAACACAGAAAGAGGAATTCCACATTCCAGTTGATTAAACACCATCACACTTCACTTCTTTCAGGGGAAACTGAGTCCCTTCAGTCCAGCACATCACACAGAACACCCTGCACTGCAGGGTTTGTATGCAGGCACATTCCCAAATAGCCAGGTTAAAGGTGCCAGCTTCTCCAGAGTGTGAGCAGCCACTTCTCCTTACAGGATGCTCAGGAGCAGAGAGCCCTCCAAAATCACCAAGAGCCCCTGGGATAAGCTGGGGGATATAGAAATGAGAAACGCATCTTCTCTGACCTCTAAGATTCCAGTCTGATGCTTTAATAAAGGTAATATTGACCCCTAAACAGCACATAATGCCCTTTGCATGAATTAATTTGCAAGAGCTCATGGAAAGGGAAGGTTTCTTGTCCCTGATGTGCACAGTCTGCTGTGCTACAGGATTGTGGTGGGGACCAAGGGGACCTCTGCAGCACTACTAAGAAAGCATTGAAGAATGTGCTATAACCTACTACAATATTACAGCAATTTTAACACTTCAATGCTCTTTCCAGAAAAGACAAAGAAACCAGCCTTGAATCCAGAAGAAGAAGCAGCTTAAAACTCATTTACTCCATTCGATTATGAGGAAAAAAAAAAACCACATTGGATTTTGTTTATTAAAAACCAAACCACAACAAAAAAAGACCCCAAAACCACCTTGAGAGACTTCCAGTCTTCACAGGCTTCAAACATATGTCTGTGTTCACTGAAAGCTGACAACTAAAAGGCATCTATTCATAAATAGGTCAGAAATCAGAAAAAAAAGACTTGTTCATTTTCATCCAGGGGCACCCAAACCAAGCCCCAGTATATAACACAAATTCTGACACCACTCAGATTCTTGATTCCTGCATCAACTGAATTAATATCTTTTAGAAAGAGGTCAGGTTTGGGCCAAAACATGTCAAGCAATGGAGAAAATTAAAATGCCCCATAGCTGTGTTATAATAGAAGATCTATTTCTTATAAAGAAATTTGCCTCATAATTAATTCAAGCAGTCAGATGAGAATTTTTGCCTGGATTTTGTTCCAATTGATTGACCGATGCTTTTAAAATTGTAATTAGAGATCTAAGGAAAACTAATAAAAAGATGAGTTTCTAAAGTTCCAGGATATACTTTTTTACAGATACTTTTTCATGTTTTTATCTGCATTTATAGTTATTTTTAAAGAAGATATGAAACGCAACGAACTTTCCACAAAATAGATACAGGAATAGTTGCAAAAAAATTCCACTTATTTCCTTACAGAGAAAACCAAACACCAAGTGCCTGGCAAGACTTTCCTGCCCTTCTGCATCTCCCAAGGGCTGGGGACCCTGAGGAGTGATGCTTTTGGGTGCCACAGATGTCACCTGGCAGGTGACCACCAGAGCAATAAGCAAAGCCCATCAGACCACACAGACGCCTCAGCATGGGATGTACTTTCCTACAAATTGTTCCTGTTCAGACAGTATCGTCTGATACATATTTTTCTCCCCTCCCCAAAAAATGTTGAGCCCCGTCTTGGAAATTCACATGAGCCAGCACTTTCAGGATTGGGCCCAATCTGTACATCTGAATCAAAGAACAGATCCAAAAACTTGGCTGCAACCAAGTGTGTCTGTAATCCTTAACACCTAATTAAATAGAAAGTCAAAAGCTTTAGTCGGACAACGTGATTTGATGGACTTTTCACCGTAACCATTAAGCCCCAGAATTGAAAGACAGACAAAAAACCCTTCTTATGCCGGGGCTGTGACATCCCCCTGTCTCATGGGACTCCGGTCTGAAAGGACCAGGAGAGCACAGAGCGGGGAGAGAGGGACTGATTAATGCAGATAATACCCTGAGCCCGTCATTTCTGGCTGTATTGTTTTAGAGTGATGCGGATTATGATTTGATCTTAGATTAGCAGAGTAGAAGGAAAGGGACAGATAGCTAAAAAGAAGGAAAATAATTGTCCAGCAATTGAAACACAGTGTTGACAATTACTAAAGAGAAAGCACGTTTCAATGGATCTCATGTGTACGGGCTGTTAACTCCGCAGATAAACGGGTTGGCCTTCCACGTGTAAATTGTTCTTGCGAACACCCCTTTGCCTGGGCAGCGCTGCCGCCTGCGCGTCGCATCCCGCACCCCACTCCAGCTGCCGGGGAGCAGGCAGTGGATCCTGCACTGCCTTCTCCCTCCTTTCCATTCTCTGAAACTATCCTGCGGCTCCGACAGGAATGCCCACGCCTGGGATCTCTGCTCAGACACCAGACTGTCACCCGCCGTATTTGCTCCCGCGCTCTGCCACGGGATATTTCTCCACGGCAGACAGCAGCAAGGTGTGGATGTACACTGAATTAAAATGCAAAAGGCAACCCCATTGCGCCCTTGCAGACCTCAGCACAGGGTTAGCTCTTTGCTTCCAGGCAGTTTAAAGGCAGGTTGTCCTTTCTGCCCAAGGCTGTGGTCTGCATTGCGAATGTCCCCTGGCTGAAAGGGTTTACAGACACAGCATCTCACTGCAATGGCCCTGATCTGAACTTCAACAAAGACTTACATTTAGGGTCTTCCTTCGGATTTGATCTCTAAGGGGTGTAATTAGCCATTACACTGAACTGCTTCGCAGGGTGAAGTCAAACCCACCGAGTACGCTGCTGGGCGTTAGTGGGGACGGGTGTGGGCTCCACTATTCCGAACCTTACCGCAGAGTCACCCTGACTCCCTAGGCATCCTATTCGCATTTCACGGTTTGGGGCTTTAGTCCTTTTGTTATTTGTTATTTGGGGGTTTAATCCCGGAGTAAGGCGCCGTGCAGCAACTTGCCCCCCTCAGCAGAAGGGAACCCCCCTAAAGAGCCGGCGCAGTGGCGAAATGCTCTCACCGTCGGTGATCTCCATCTCGTACGGAGACGGTCTTCGCTTCACCCGGTTGCTGCCGTACATGGAGAAGGAGTCCGGTTCGCCGAAAAACCCGCTGCAAACGAAAGGCAGAGAGGCCGTGAGGACACTCCGGCATCCCCCCGGCCCGGTGGGGGGAGGGAGCGTCCGGGGGCAGCTCGGGGCCGGCGGGAAGCAGAGCTGCTCCGTGACCTCGGAGCGAGCTCACGGCTCACGAAGCCGAGCCCTGGGTCGTGAGGCGACACGACACGCGGCCGCCTGGGGACACGCAGCGAGAGACGCCAGCCCCCCGTGAGCAGGGGGATGTGGGCAGCTTGGGATATCCGGGCTGGAGGCTCCGGGCAAAACCCACCCGCATCCCCGCGGCTTTGTGCCCTCCCGCAGGCGGGCGCGCACGTCCAGCCGGGCCGGGTCCGCACCGGGTCCGTCCCCGCACACCCCCGGGCTGGTCCAGCCCCTGCCAGAGCCTTTGCTGTCCCTTGCGCTTATTTGAGGGACTCGTCGGAGGGCAGAGAGAGTCCAAGGAGCTAAACCACCTCTTGCCCGTTTACTGAAGGACCCCCTTGCTCTGCCCGGGACAATTCTACTGTGGGTTGTTTGTTTTTTTTTTTTTCTAGGAATGACAGTTTTTCGTTTCCTCTTTTTTTTTTCCCCCTCTCTACCCTTTTCCCTTTCTTCCTTTGCAAAGTTGCATGCAACCCCGCGATGACTAAACCCCGAGCCCCGCTCGGAAGAAGAGATGCTGCAGCTCCCCTCTCTTCCCCGCACCTCCCTCCCTCCCCGGCACCGCATTCGGGGAGACACGGACCTGTTGATGGTGGCCAGCGGCTGGCCCAGGTTGTAGAGCATGGCCCTGCCGTGGGGCTGCAGCGGGAGCGCGGGGGGACTCAGCTGCACCATGCGGGCCTCGCAGGCGGCCTCTGCGGCGCGGCACGGCTCGGCACCCGGCGCTCTCTGCATCGCCTCTCCCGCCGCCTCCCGGCCTTTTATGTCCAGGGAGCCCCCCCGGCGCACCAGCTCGATGACGGGCACAGGGGCGGCGGGGGGCCCGGGGGAGGGCCGGCCCGCCTCCTTGGACGCCCCGTTGAGCAGCAGCTGGGGGTCCGCCGGCGCCTCCATGCCCCCGCGGCTGCTCTCCGGCTCGCTCGTGGTCTCCGCTTCCGAGTCGTGCCGCCGGGGGGGGCGGGCATCGCGGGGGTCACTGGGGGGCGGCGGGGCGGGCGGCCTGTCCATCGTCCTGCGGAGAGAGGCAGCGGTGAGGGGCGGCCCCGCTTTGGGGAGGGGGGTTTACCCCTCCGCAGGTACCGCCCCGACGGGGGTGGCCGCTTCGGGGCTCGGACTTGGCCGGTGAGAAACGGGGGGAGTTACTAATCACCTTAAAATCATCTAGAGTTTGTTGGCGGCACCGGGGGGTCTGCGGGTCCACCCCGCCCGAGCCGTGCGGGGCCGTGACGTCACGGAGCGGCCCTGCCGTGACGTCACGGAGCCTGGCGGAGCGGTGCGGCACTTTTGACGTCCCGCAGCGCCCCTGTCCCGCAGGACGCTCCACCGGGCCCGACCTCCCATCCCTCGGTACCCGCGGAGCGGTGGCACCGTCGGGGCGGCCGGTGCAGCAAGAAGGGCTCGGCCAGCGCCCGGCGCACCGAGTTAAATCACGCGGCCAAATGATGGAGGAGGCAGAGCGCGCACCTCCGCTTTTTTGCGGGGTACTTCTCTCCACATCGGGGGCCCCGGCGGTGTTTGCCGACCTGCGGAGTCAGCCCGACCGCGGCCCGGCCTGCCGGCAGCGGCCTCAACCTCGAGAGTGGCCCCTTTTCCTCCCATGTCTAGTTTTTACTATTATTATTATTCATAAAGCAGCGAAATACACCCGAAACCACTTTTTGGGGGAGAGGGGGTTAAACCAGCCCCTAACGGAGCCAATCCCCCCGCGCATTCACTACAGCAGGAAGGAGGAAGGGGCCCGGCCGCGGACGCACACACAGCATTGTCCCCCTTCTCCCATAGAACGAATGCTGTCGCGACAGGGCACCTCGCGCCGAGGGCAGGCAGCGATATGGCGATTATTGCCATGCCTTTTCTCCCACATATCCCCTCGTTCGCTTTCAGATGTTTTGTTCGTTCGTTTGGTTGGTTGGTTTATTTTTTCCCCATATAAATAGGGAGCTTCAGGGAGCAGGGAGCTGCCGCCCATCCTTCTGGCTCCTTTGCCTTGGGTAATTTTTTTCCCGTTTTTGATGGGCTGAATTGCGAGAGAAATCCCATTTTTTGGCCATATCTCACCATCTCTCTGAAAAATAAAAAAAACCCCAGCCACCCAGCATAAAGCACAAGCTCCCTGCCTTCCCTCCAACCCTCTAGAAAGAAAAATCTAATTGCCTATTCCGATATTGTATAGGAAGAGATTACTCACATGTGTCATATTTAAGTAGGGACACCGCAAGTCTCTCCTGTTTCAACAAAAGCGCTCTCAGTGTCAGGCTGAATTTACTCCTCCCACCTCAAGGTACTTACGACTTTACAGAGAGGAAGGACACCCGCATCGGGATAAAACTGCTAAATCCTGGGAGGAAGAGAAGGGGGGGGAGAAAAAGAGGAGAGGGTGGATCTCGTGGGTCCGGGTTGCCAAAGATCAGTGGAGAGAGAAGGGTGCAGGGGAGAGGGAAGGAGGGAACAGCACCCCGGGGCGGCCCCTGTGACAGGGGACAGCGGCCACCCCCGGGTCCCCCCCCTCCGCCGCCGGGAGCCGCCGCCTCGCACAAGGGGCCACAAGGAGCGATGGGCACGGCCTGGCGTGGAAAAAAAAAATAAACAAGAAAAAAAAAAAGGCGGGAAAAAAAAAAAAAAGGTCCTAGGTTTGGGGCGAATTGGGCGTTTTTTTGGACACATTGCAAGCCCGATCTCTCCGGGAGGAAATCCCAGACGGGTCCGGACACGGGGTTGTTTTTCTCCCAGTGGGCTCGCACGAAGCGGCCGCGGCGACGGCGTTTCTCCCGCGTCCGGCTGGAAAATTTAATTCCTAAAGGGGCGAATTAAATTCCTCAAAGGGCCGGTTACCAGGCGCGCTCCCGGCCGAGGAGCCGAGACAGCCGGGACCGGGCCGGCAGCGGGGTGAGCCCGCTCCCCGCCGCCCAGCAACAGGAAGGCGAGGCCGGTTCCCCCCCCCCCGCCAACGAAATCACGAAAAATAAGGTTTACCCCTTTGTAAAAAAAAGGAAAAAAAAGAAAAAAAAAGAAACAATCCCGATGGCGTCTTCCCCCGCCTTCGTTAAAAACGAAATACATAAACCCACAAAGATATCTGCACTATTTTGCCCTAAATTGGGGTGGTTTCGTTTGGAGAAATGGAAGGGGGGGGTGTAATAATTCCCCGCCTGCTCGTTTCTGCTCCGTAAAATCCTTTTGTTTTCCAGCAGCCGATCGGCAGGAAATTTCCAGCCCAAAAGCGCACCTCTCCCGGCGGTCGTTTGTAGGGAAATCGCCCCAAAACGAAGGGGCAAGAGGGAGCGGGATATGGGGGGACCCCCCTCCCTGCAAGGAGCGGTCAGACTCTGGCCGTCGGCCATGCCGTGTCCTGGTGTTTTTCCCTTGGGAGAAACTGGGGGACCCGGGCCCGGTGGGTGCTTCACACCCGCGGCCGGTCCCCGGGGGTCCCGGGGCGGTGGGGGTATCGCACCCCACGATTTCAAAGGGGAAAGCGCGTTCTCCTCCTCACCCATCCCGCATCAAAGAATAACAAATAGATTAAAACCCAGAGGCGGAAAAAGGTTTTGTGTTTTTTTCCCCTGCTCGTCTGCCTCTCACATGGGGTAGAAGCCCCCCAAAAACCCCCTCGCTGCCCGCCGGAGCCCCCCAAAATCCCATCCCGCCGCCCGCACCGCCCAGCTCGCTGCAGGGCCGATTCCTCTTTACTCACCATTTGCTTTTCATTGGGAAAAGTGAGTGGAGCCATTTTGTGGCCTACGCATCGTGGCTATATTTGTAGTAAGTGTTGGGTGGCTTCAGCTGGGTAGGCTCTAATTCCACATCACGTCCAGTTTCCTATTTAGTATGGAGAGCGGAACACTACTGCAATGTGGCCGAGAGAGATAAAACCCCAGCAGTGGCCCGCCTGCCCTGATAAGCTTCTAAACCCATTATTTATGAAATGATTCATTATTATTTGGCAATTTTATCGAAGGAAAGCGGAAAATTATTGCAGGGATATGCATAGGAATAACTCCGGAATGCATGCCTTCTAGCTTTTTATGTGTGTGTGCTTAGATGCTCTTAAAAAGACACTGCAAAAAAAAAAAAAAAAAAGTAATAAAAAATTGCACTGTGACTGCCCGCATCTGAATAGTGATTCTTTATTTTAGTCCTCTTGGAGGTTATTATGCCCCTGTTTCCCCCCCCTTTTTTTTTATTATTATTAAATATGGAACACCTACTCCGTTCTTAATTAAATTTAATGAGCCAAAATAAATTGTTGGAGATGCTGAGAGAGGGGGAAGGGGTGTGTGCTGCTTTGGGACGAGAGGAGGTAAATAAAGCACATCTAGAGGAGATGTTTTGGAGAGAAGTGGCCCCATCCCCAGCCTTCCTCCCCCCGTCCTGTGTGTTTTTGCTAAAGGGTTGAACTGGGACGAGCTCCCCGTATTCTCTCCCGTGCTTGGGCGGGGGGAATCCGAGCATCCTTGCGAGGCTGGGGGATGCTGGGGACTGGGAGCAGAGTAGGTTCCCAGCCGGCACCTCTCGCCCTCGAGAAATTTGGGATGTAAGCGGAGCAGCCTGGAGAAGAGGGGGTTTGGGGAAGGGGAGACAGGGCCCTGAGTCTCCCCGTAGCGATGCGGGGCAGCCAGAGGGGCTCGGGTCCGTCTGCGCGCCCCGTCGGGGAAGGGGCTCGGCCCGGCCCCGGGGTCTCCGAGCCCGGGTGGACGAGGATTCTCGGGCCTTCCCAAAGCCGCCGTGCAGCCGGAGCGGCTGGAGGGGACGGGAGGCGGGCGGTGCGGGGGTCGCAGTGCCCTGCGCGGAGGTCGCAAAGCAGTGGGACGAGTGAAACCCTTCCCGAAATGCCAGAGGCTCCCGGCCTGGAAAGAGGGGAGGAGGGGGTGCCACTGTAGGGTCGCAGACCCCTTCCTCCGGACGCCCACGGGTAAAGCGGTCCTAAAGGCTCCTAAAGGGAGAGGTTTTCGACAGCTCGGGGATCGGCCTGCGCGGGAACAAAAAATCAACGAAATCTCCCGCGGCACGGGGTGGGAAGGAGGGGGCCCGGGCTGAGCGCCTCCCGGAACGCCCCCCGGGCCCTGCTGCGGGGTTTGGGCGAGGCGGCGGCCCCCGGCCGTGAGCGGAGCGCGGGGCTCGGGGGAGAAGCGGCGATGCGGACCGGCCGCACCTGCCCGTGCGTGGCGGGGGCGGCGGCGGGGCTGAGGTGCGGGGGTCGCTATTGTCTCCCCGCCACCTGCACACCCTCCCGCAGGGGGGGAAATGCCGGAGCTGTTATTCTTCCTTTCACTCCTTCCCCTCAGCCTCCCGCTTCTGGACGCGGCCGTGGGAGAGGTTTCCCCAGGCTCCCCCCGCGGCACGGCCGGGGCCGGGGCCGTGTCCCGGCCGGCAGGAGCCCGCACGATGCCGGCAGCGTGAGTGGGGCGGCGGGGCAGGGCCGGTCACGACGCGCCGGAGAGCCCGCCGTGCCTCCCGCCAGGAAACACGACCATTTTCAAGCCGGCTCCTCTCACCAACAGGAAGCGTTAAAGATAGAACAGCCGGGGCTGGGCGGGGGAGATTAGGAAGCCGAGCATCTTCTGAGCACCGAGGGCCGCTGCGGGGCCATTCCCAGCCGTGCCGGTCCCCGTGGCCGAGCTCAACCCACCTCCGCCCGCACGGCAGTCCCACCCCGAGACTGAGGGGACCCATGTGTGGCACCTTTCCCTGCCCCGGCCCTGCCTAGGGTGGGCTTCCCGGCCCCTCACCAGGCTTTCACTAGAGAAGAGGCAGCAAGTCCTGCAAACAGAGTGGGGAGAACCAAAAAGATCCAGAGGAAAGCAGTCAGTGATGCTCCGAGGAGGACCAGCGCCTTTTAATCAAGCACTATAAAAATCTTTTATTATAATTAAAGATAGCTAGAAATCACAGAAGAAAAATAAAAAACCACCCCAAACTCAAAACAATAAAATCTTAAACCGTGCTGCCCCAACCCCATGTCATTCCCTTGTGAGCCAGTGCTTGAATTTGGGCCCCATTGCCCAGTTAACAAAGCCAGACCTGGCTTTCCATGTGTTTTTTACTTCAAACTGCAGTAGATGCTTCAGGAAAAAAAAAAAAAAAAAGAAACACCCAGACATCTTGAAATTACTCAGCACCACACTATGAAAGGAAAATGCCGCTTTAGGGAAGGGTGGTTTTTTGTTGCTTTGGTCAAGTAAATTAATGTTTCGCTCGCTCAGAGGTTGCTGTCCAAGATTATATGATTTGTGTAACTTAATATAACACCACACCCTTGTCCTGAGCTGTGTGGAAGTAGTTTGGCTTTTGTTTTCAAATTGTTTCTAGCCCTCGAGCATTTGAAGAAAATCTTTAAAATATTAACCAATACAACTGTCATCTTCCTGTGTTTCCAGACATTTTACAATAGGAAACAAAGAACAAAACCCTGTAACAATAGCTCAGAGGTATGAATTGCCTCATTCATCTCACTGGAATGTTCAAAAACATTAACTATTTTTTGACTGATTCAGCAGAAAATGTGCTGGCAGATAATAAGCTTATGCCTGATCCAGGGAAGATTCAGGGACTGAGAAAGGTTTTATTTTTCTGCACAGCAAAAGAAGCACCTTTCCTGAAAGGAAGCAAATATTCTTGTTGATGGAAGAGGCTGCGTGAGAGGAGAAATTCTGACATGGCTTAAAGGGAGCTGCTGCCTTCCTCTCTCTGTACTGGCTTTGAAATGGCACATGGCTTATCTCACCCCAATTCTGTAATAAATTAATTAGCAATTAGCGCCCAGTCAAACATACCACGAACTAACACTGCAGTCCTTTGGATTTGACTGGGAAAGGCCCAGGATTTTAGAGGAGGTTGTTTTAACCGTTAGTTTAACACACAGAGCAGGAAAGCCAAGGTCAGCACCACAGGCTGAACTGCTGCTGAGACAATGCCATCACTAAAACAAAGTTTGTTCCAGCGCCTGTTAGAGCACGTTGATGTGCTACAGGCAGGGAGAAAACACATGGCTCGACCGCCATCCTGAACTGTCCTCCCATCAGGAACGGTGGGAATGGGAGTGAATCACCACTTCCAGCACTGGTGTCTCATTCCCAGGACCAGGAGGTCAGCACAGGGCTGTGTTACTCCACAGCCATGCGTCCTAAGCCACGTCCTCAGAGGCACTGGCCAAAGGTGGGCAGAGCTGTCACAGCCAGCGCTGGGCACCTGCTGGGGCTCCAGCACCAGGGACAACACATCCTGACCACACCTGAAAACTGAACAAGAGTCAGAGTCTTAACAGAAATGGACCTGCTAAACAATACATAATATTCCACAAGGTGAAGAAGTTGGTTATCAGCAGAAGGTTATGGAAAAGAGCTGTTTCATTAATAGACAGACAGTAGTGCTTGATGACAGAACATTTGTATATTTACTCAGAACAAAGTAAATCTAATATTTTTGCTTGCCTCACCACCCAGTATCAGAATTCTTGAGTTCAGGAGCAGGTGAACCAGTGAACTTCCAGTTAACCATTCTAACAGTGACTGGGAAGCTGCATGTGTCTTAAATAAAGGCACCATCAGACAACTGAAGACTAATTTTTTTTTTAATGAAACCTTTGACATTTATAAGCAGTATGTAATCTTAAATAAATAGAAAACATGGAGGGAGAGAAAAAATTCACAAAAAAAGTTTTTAAAAAGTGCTAGTTTCCCCCCAATTTCCTTCAAAGATTTCATGATACAGAAAGTTACATGTGCCATTTTGACTAAATTCAAGATAATTTTATGCAAAGTAAAGCCACAGTTATACTTCCCTTCCCCTTCCCCCCCAGACACAACCCCCACACAGTAATCCAACCATTTCAGTAAATTTCTAGAAATTAGTGCTTTAGCTCTGCCCTGCTCTGCCATACACGGTATCAGTGGCTCACAGTTGGCACAAACATGTAAAAATCAGTGTTTTTAAAAAGTCAACAGAAAAACATTTAAGTAATCACTGTTAAAATTATATTAAGAGTATATCTTGGGCTCAGGTTGATTCAACTTTCATATGCTTTAAAAATCACACCTAACTGTAAACAAAAGTGCACATGTGTCAGTGCTGACCTGCACTGCCTCAGCCAGGCACTTAGAGGTGGTTGTCCCTGACCTGGGCTGAAAACTCAGCTCTGCAAAGTTTTACACTGCTGCAGCAGGGGGACCTCTTCAAAGACAGTTTAATCCGTGGTTTCCTATCATCTTTTACAGAGGTCCCTCTGATTTGTAACAGTGGTTGCCAGCCATCTCAGGGGACGTTCAGAACAACTTTGGCAACTGCCTGAGCTGTTTCACATCAAGAATGGTGCCAACAGAATTTATGCTGTTTGACTGGTTTAACGTTTCAAGGGTTGGAGTACGTAAATTTCCAGGGAACACCTGAGTATCTCCATCTTTCCTACCAGGTTGTCCAGTGAATTCAATCCTCCCAGGTAGCAATTTGGTTTTTGACTTTAAATCCTTTAAGAACTGAACTGAGTTTTCATCTGATTGATCTGCTCTGGGAGGAAAAATTTCATTTGCAATATTTCTTAATACAGGGTTGTTTAATTCCGGTGGAGAAGTCAACTCTCTGCTGTGACCTTTTAGGTGAATGGGAAGTCTTCCATCAATTCTTTTGGATAATTCAGTCCAGTGGTTGAAGTTGTCCAACACAGCAGCACAGTTTTTGCCTGGCATGCTTTCTCTTTTGACAGTGCCAGAATTGCCATCTCGAACCTGCAGTTCCTCTTCGTCTTCACTGCTGTCACTGCCCTGTATCAGCCCATATCGCTTCATGTACTTCTTGGTTGCAAAGGACATATTGTTTGGTGAAATTAAGCTAAGACCTACCATGCTCTTGTCTGTATTTGAATGCAAGATGTCTTGGAAAGAGAAATCTGCAGGAGGATTTTGGCCCGAGCGACTGAGAGACAGTCGAGATAACTGGTTTTCACTGAGATACTTGAGTGCTATAGCGTTTGCTTCCATGCTCAGATCAACAACATTAGGAGTTAAGCCACACATGCTGACATTGGCAAATGACATATAATTTAATCCAGGCACCACTGCTTCAGGATTTATGCA